ATAATATATATATATATATATATATATATATATATATATATATATAAATATATATATATATATATATATATATATATATATTATTAATATACCATCAAACACTTTCCTCCCTCTCCTCCCCTTACCGATTTCATAATAGCGTCGAACATGGCCTGGTACCCTCCAGATACCATAACGATACCCATGACAGCAGAGAGGCTACCAAGGACTATCAGGGTTATCTCACAGCAAGACAGCTTCTTTTTGATTCTCTTGGGGGCGCTGTCCATGCCGGTTCGACTCCCTGGAAATTGTTTTTTTAAGTTGAATTAAGGGGCATTTTTTTTTTTTTATTATTTATTTATTTTGTTTTTTTAGTTAATGTTTTTTTTCTTTTTTTTTTATTAGTTTACATGTTTTTTCTTATTTTTTAGTTAAAAGTTTTATATATTTTTAGTTAACAAGTTTATATTTATTTTTTTTAGTTAACAATTTGTTTTGTTTTTTTTAGTTAACAAGTTTTATGTTTTTTTTTTTTGACAAAGTAGCATGGTAGGGACAATTGTTATTATCATTGTTGTTATTATTAGTATTGTTATTATCATTGATGTTATTGTTTTTTACTATATTGTTGGTATTATTAGTATCATTATCATCACTATTTTTTTGTTATTATTGTTGTTATCATTATCATTATCGTTATTATGAATATTATTATTATCATTATTATTAGTATCATTGTTATTATTATTATTGTTATTATTAATAATCAATAATAATAATAATAATAATAATATAATAATAAATATAATAATAATAATAATGATAATAATAATAATAATAATAAATGATAATATAATAATAATAATAATAATAATAATAATAATAATAATAATAATAATGATAATAATAATAATAATAATGATAATAATTATCATTATTATTATTTATTATATTATTATTATTATCATTATTATCATTGTTATCATTAATCTTTATTATCACCATTATTAGCATTATTACCATCATTAACATTTTATCAATATTACTACTATTATTACTACTGTTGCCATCACCATTAGCATTACATATCATCATTATTTATCAAATTTGTTTTACGACTTAATTGCCTCTGCTGTCTTCGGTTCAGTAATAGACATAAGGAACAAATAAGTAGATAAAACTTCAGCAATAGACATAAGGAACAAATAAGTAGATAAAACTTCAGTAATAGACATAACAAATAAGTAGATAAAACTTCAGTAATAGACATAAGGAACAAATAAGTAGATAAAACTTCAGTAATAGACATAAGGAACAAATAAGTAGATAAAACTTCAGTAATAGACATAAGGAACAAATAAGTAGATAAAACTTCAGTAATAGACATAAGTAATAAGTAGATAAAACTTCAGCAATAGACATAAGGAACAAATAAGTAGATAAAACTTCAGTAATAGACATAAGGAACAAATAAGTAGATAAAACTTCAGTAATAGACATAAGGAACAAATAAGTAGATAAAACTTCAGTAATAGACATAAGTAACAAATAAGTAGATAAAACTTCAGCAATAGACATAAGGAACAAATAAGTAGATAAAACTTCAGTAATAGACATAAGGAACAAATAAGTAGATAAAACTTCAGTAATAGACATAAAATAAGTAAAACTTCAGTAATAGACATAGGACAAATAAGTAGATAAATATTAGATAGACATAAGTAACAAATAAGTAGATAAAACTTCAGTGATAGACATAAGTAACAAATAAGTAGATAAAACTTCATAGACATAAGGAACAAATAAGTAGATAACTTCAGTAATAGAATAACTAAGAATAGACATAAGTAAAATAAGTAGATAAAACTTCAGTAATAGACATAACAAATAAGTAATAAAACTAAATAACAAATAAGTAGATAAAACTTCAGTAATAGACATAAGGAACAAATAAGTAGATAAAACTTCAGCAATAGACATAAGGAACAAATAAGTAGATAAAACTTCAGTAATAGACATAACAAAGAAATATATAAAACTTCAGTAATAGACATAAGTAACAAATAAGTAGATAAACTTCAGTAATAGACATAAGTAACAACTAAGTAGATAAAACTTCAGTAATAGAATAACAATAAGTAGATAAAACTTCAGTAATAGACATAACAAAATAAGTAGATAAAACTTCAGTAATAGACATAACAAATAAGTAGATAAACTTCAAGTAATAGACATAAGGAAAAATAAGTAGATAAAACTTCAGCAATAGACATAAGTAATAAGTAGATAAAACTTCATAGACATTAAGGAACAAATAAGTAGATAAAACTTCAGCAATAGACATAAGGAACAAAGAAGTAGATAAAACTTCAGTAATAGACATAACAAATAAGTAGATAAAACTTCAGTAATAGACATGAGTAACAACTAAGTAGATAAAACTTCAGTAATAAGTAAGAGATAAAACTTCAGTAATAGACATAACAAATAAGTAGATAAAACTTCAGTAATAGACATGAGTAACAAATAAGTAGATAAAACTTCAGTAATAGACATAAGGAACAAATAAGTAGATAAAACTTCAGTAATAGACATAAGGAACAAATAAGTAGATAAAACTTCAGTAATAGACATAAGGAACAATAAGTAGATAAAACTTCAGTAATAGACATAAGGAACAAATAAGTAGATAAAACTTCAGTAATAGACATAAGTAATAAGTAGATAAAACTTCAGATAGACATAAGGAAACAATAGTAGATAAAACTTCAGTAATAGACATAAGTAACAAATAAGTAATAAAACTTCAGTAGACTAAGGAACAAAGAAGTAGATAAAACTTCAGTAATAGACATAACAAATAAGTAGATAAAACTTCAGTAATAGACATGAGTAACAAATAAGTAGATAAAACTTCAGTAATAGACATAAGGAACAAATAAGTAGATAAAACTTCAGTATAGACATAAAAAATAAGTAGATAAAACTTCAGTAATAGACATAAATAAGTAGATAAAACTTCAGTATAGACATAAGGAACAAATAAGTAGATAAAACTTCAGTAATAGACATAAGGAACAAATAAGTAGATAAAACTTCAGTAATAGACATAAGTAACAAATAAGTAGTAAAACTTCAGTATAGACATAAGGAACAAATAAGTAGATAAAACTTCAGTAATAGACATAAGTAACAAATAAGTAGATAAAACTTCAGTAATAGACATAAGGAACAAAGAAGTAGATAAAACTTCAGTAATAGACATAAGTAACAAAAAGTAGATAAACTTCAGTAATAGACATAAGGAATAAGTAAATAAACTTCAGCAATAGACATAAGGAACAAATAAGTAGATAAAACTTTCAGCACATAAGTACAAATAAGTAAGTAGATAAAACTTCAGTAATAGACATAAGGAACAAATAAGTAGATAAAACTTCAATAGACATAAGAACAAATAAGTAGAGCTAGACATAAGGAACAATAAGTAGATAAAACTTCAGTAATAACATAAGACAAATAAGTATTCAGTAATAGACATAAGTAACAAATAAGTAGATAAAACTTCAGTAATAGACATAAGGAACAAATAAGTAGATAAAACTTCAGCAATAGACATAAGTAACAAATAAGTAGATAACTTCAAATAGACATAAGGCAAATAAGTAGATAAAACTTCAGCAATTAAGCAAATAAGTAGATAAACAAATCTTCAGTAATAGACATAAACAATAAGTAGATAAAAACTTCAGTAATAGACATAAGTCAAATAAGTAGATAAAACTTCAGTAATAGACATAAGGAACAAATAAATAGATAAAACTTCAGCAATAGACATAAGGTACAAATAAGTAGATAAAACTTCAGTAATAGACATAACAAATAAGTAGATAAAACTTCAGCAAATAGAATAAGGACACAAATAATAGATAGCAATAGACATAAGTAACAAATAAGTAGATAAAACTTCAGTAATAGACATAACAAATAAGTAGATAAAACTTCAGCAATAGACATAAGTAACAAATAAGTAGATAAAACTTCAGCAATAGACATAAGGTACAAATAAGTAGATAAAACTTCAGCAATAGACATAAGTAACAAATAAGTAGATAAAACTTCAGCAATAGACATAAGATACAAATAAGTAGATAAAACTTCAGCAATAGACATAAGTAACAAATAAGTAGATAAAACTTCAGTAATAGACATAAGTAACAAATAAGTAGATAAAACTTCAGTAATAGACATAAGTAACAAATAAGTAGATAAAACTTCAGCAATAGACATAAGGAACAAATAAGTAGATAAAACTTCAGTAACAGACATAACAAATAAGTAGATAAAACTTCAGTAATAGACATAAGTAACAAATAAGTAGATAAAACTTCAGTAATAGACATAAGGAACAAATAAGTAGATAAAACTTCAGCAATAGACATAAGGAACAAATAAGTAGATAAAACTTCAGTAATAGACATAAGGAACAAATAAGTAGATAAACTTCAGCAATAGACATAACAAATAAGTCAGCAATAGACATAAGTATAAAACTTCAGATAGACATAAGGAACAAATAAGTAGATAAAAACTTCAGCAATAGACATAAGTCAAAATAAGTAGATAAAACTTCAGTAATAGACATAAGGAACAAATAAGTAGATAAAAGTAATAGACATAAGTAACAAATAAGTAGATAAAACTTCAGTAACAGACATAAGTAACAAATAAGTAGATAAAACTTCAGTAATAGACATAAGGTACAAATAAGTAGATAAAACTTCAGTAATAGACATAAGGAACAAATAAGTAGATAAAACTTCAGTAATAGACATAAGTAACAAATAAGTAGATAAAACTTCAGTAATAGACATAACAAATAAGTAGATAAAACTTCAGTAACAGACATAACAAATAAGTAGATAAAACTTCAGTGATAGACATAAGTAACAAATAAGTAGATAAAACTTCAGTAATAGACATAAGGAACAAATAAGTAGATAAAACTTCAGTAATAG